GGAGGACGTCCTGTTTGATAAAGTGGAGGGGCAGTAAAAAGAGACAGGTCCTCCAGTGGCTGCAATGATGGGCCCTGGCAGAGGAGCAAATGTGAAGGTGGCACAGGACAGCCCGTGTGTCGTTCCGTTGTGCATCAGGTCACTATGGGTTGGAACCTACTCACCCGCCCCTAAGAGCAACCACAGCGAACTTCACATGGGTAGATTGCTGGGAGCCACGGTAAGTGCAATCAGTCAACTTTTAGTTGACTAGTTAAGCGCTTAACCATTGTACCAACAGAGGTCCTTGTTGATGTGACTGCCACCCCCTTAATCTTCTCTTACCCCATGTCAATTCATTCACTTGGCGTTACTCTCTTCTCCCCCGGAAGACTATTGATGAGAACCCATTGATGCTTATTCTGTTCATTACTATGTCCCAAACTCCTTGCCCAGTTCCTGGCAGTTAATAGGTACACAATACATATTTCTTGAATGGATGACTACATTTTGAAAAGCTTAGAAAAAAAAGAAGTGTTTCAACTTTTTTTTGTTTATTTAAAACATTTAAATATTCAAAGGCAAGACATATAAATGGCAAATCAAAATATTTAAACAATGCATTTTGGCCATTGTCTGGGCTAGATGCCAACCTAACCTTGTGGAAAGATGTGGCAAATGAGCTCATCAATGAAAAACAAATCTCTTTCCTTGCACATAAAAACTTATATTAAATTACTTCCTGTTGCAAAGTCAGTTGTTCTCAATGATATCATAATTCAAAGGCAATATACCTTTCCGTGCATTACAGACGAAATGATTCCATGTAGTTTTCTTTAAACTCAATTTATGCCAGATTGATATCAGTTACCTCATTCACCCACAGTCTGTAAGAAATGTGAACATTTAAATCGTCCACATTTTACTGGGACTGGTGCTAGAACGTCTTGTTTTTTACATTTCTTGTACCCCAGATGACTTGCGTCCAAAGATAGGCAGCTTCTAGTTGAACTGTTAAAGGATACTTACGCTTTAGGTGGGCTTTGGTTTTATTGTCAAAATCAAGATATAATCTGTTAATTAACACTTCATTGTATAGACAACTCATCCCCCCCCCCAATTGCCATAGAATAAATTGTGACAGATAGGGACCCTAGAGGCCAGCACCTGATTGCCCCCTAAAGTTTCCAAGGCCCTAATCTCTAGAAGCAGACTGTGCAGGTGACCTGTGGTTGAGCAGTCGGCAGGCCCACATAGTCATCCACATTACAGAAGACAGAGGCTTGCGGGGAACACGAATTCTCTAAATTTACTGAACAGACTCTAGCAACAGCGTGTTCATCATCTGTAAACATCTCCTGGGTTCAACGTTTTCGTTTTCTGTTTTTAACCTAAGTCATGCCATTTTATGACTTTCAGTCAGGATGGATGAACAGGAAATGGGAGGGACGTTCATTTAAAATAACCTCAATGTATACCAGGTGTTCTTGTTTGAGGCTCTGTTATATCTGTACTAGTGTGCTTGCCACTGTGCAGGCTACAGAGATGAATCTGAAGGGATTCCTACTTTCAAGGAATTCACAATTAAATAATGAACTTACTAGATGGATGGCTACATATCACCAGGTGAGACCAACATTTTCACAGTGGAGGTGAACCATGCAGAGGCACCTGGTCATGTGCTCTCACTTATCCACCATCCCATTGGGTATCTTGCTGGGATACTTTGCATTTAGTAAACATACTTTGTAATGGTAGAAAATTCTGACTTTGGGGGGAATGAATGATGTATGTATGACTGTGGTGGATGCTCACACATGAGGAACAATTAACACTGGCCGTGGTAGTTAAGGTTATGTGTCAATTTGACTGATTCTCAGTGGTTGCAACTATGGGCTCCAACCTAACCCGAGTTGTGGCTATGGCATAGGACCTGGCTCTCTCTTCCTGTCGTTCATCGGGTTACTGTGAGTCAGAGCTCATTAAATGTCCCCAATCAATAGCAACATGATTCTCAGTGGTTTGGGAGTAATGTAACAATTTAACTCGGCAGTTAAATAATGATATAATTTGGCAGTTATTTAGTAATGATCCATATTTTTTAATCTGATGTGGTCTTCTCATTTTCTCATAACTGCAGTTTCACATAATAAACTGGTTTTTTGATACTAACCACATCAGTAGTTGATATTAGGAAATCATATTAGGAAATTCTCCATAGCTATGTCATCATTTTCCCTGAACTTTGAAAAGGAAGAAGGACTTGTTTGCATGGGTGGTGCACACATTCAGGAAGGCAAGGGAAATGTCTTCTACAGGGCGCATAGTTAGTTTGGTCCCAGAAGCATATGAAAAGGAGAAGGGGTGAGAAGAAGGCATTTGGAAAAGTAACTTGAGACTCTTTGGCAAGGGCCCAAAATGTGAGGGAGGATAAGATAGGTGAACCTCATTCTATAAACATTAAAACCAAACCAAACCGATAGCCCTTAAGTCACTTCTCATTCAAGGAGAGCCGCACAGGTGGTTCGCAGTAGAACACCTCCGGGTTTGCAATACCTGTCCTCTTAAAGAAGTAGCTCACCAGATGTTGGTTTTTGTTTATCACAGTGTTTCGCTGCATGGATTCAAATGGCCAAGCTTTCAGGTTTGTGCCACCCACGAAGTGGAGATAAAAGAAGATGATTAAAATAAGCAAATACATCTATCTACATTTGGGGGATGTCAGAAAGAATAGAGAAAGAGATGGGGGAGTTTTGAAAAGGCAAGGAGAGCCGGGCATCATGCACGTCAATCTAACAGTCCCACTGGGTGGATTTCAACTCTTAGTGACCCCACAGAACAGAGTGGACTTCCCTTGTGCATTTCTGACACCAAATCGTTGCATGCGTAGTAAGCCTCACCTTCATCCTCTGAGGGACTGGTGATTTTGAACTGCTGACCCTGTTGTTAGCAGCCTAACATGTAACCATTATGCTACTAGAGCTCCTGTCAGTCAATATAGGAGATAGGTTTAAGAAGAAAGTGTCCGTGAATGTCAAATCGCTGCTATCAAGCGTGTCCAGGGTACAAAAGACGGGCATTGAGGAGCCCTGGTGACACTGTGGTTAAGAGTTTCACTGTCAACTCGAAGGTTGACTGTTCAAACTTATCAGCCACTCCATGGGATGAAAATGTGTCAATGTGTTCTTGCAAAGATTTACAGCCTTGCCACCCGCATGGAAATAAACTCTGCTACTAACTGAGAAGTTGAAAGTTTGAACCCGCCAGTCGCTCTGCTGGGGAAAGATGAGAGTGTTTGCGTCTATAAAGATTACAGCTTTGACCATCCAATGGGGCAGTTCTACTCTATGCACAGGGGCACTGTCATCAGAAAGAACTCAACAGCAGTGGATTCTGTTTTGCTTGTTTGGTTTCTGAATATCTCAAATTGGCAATCATTGTTTATTTTCCAAATGCAATATGGTGTGGAAAAATGGTATGGGCATTAGGCAGAGGATATAGAATCCCCATGTGGATGAATTATGGGGTTAGGGAGAAATTGCTACTTGATCTCGCTGCCCTTGAATTTCCTGACTGTAAAATGGGAATACTACTTGTTTCAATGCTCTGTGATGAATTAAAGCACAGTTTATTAGCAAATGGATAAGAGCCTGCTGGAAAGAGGTCAGTTTATATTCTTTCGAATTTGTTTCCCATTGGTTTTCTTTTAGCTTGCAGATGATCATGAGTTATGAGAAAACATTACTTAGATTCATTGGGGGGGGGTTAAGTTAATTAATCATAACAATGCATTTTAAAAGACTGATCCTTGGGTTGAGTGGAGGAGGGGGAATGAGGGAGCAAGTTTCCCTTTTGAAGTTCGGGCAAAGCAAATGGTCAAGACACTGGGTGTCCTGATATCTAGACGGGTTGATGGGTCTGAATGGGGGTTAGATGGGGCAGATGCACTCTGTCCGTCATACTTCACTTTGTATCCCCTAAAACAACAACAGCAACAAAGTCACCTACTTCCGTGGTGTCAACTACAACTCACAACAGCCCTATGTAAGGTTTCTGAAAATGTGAAAATTTATGGGAGCAAATAGCCTCATCTTTCTCCCACAGAAAAGCTACTGGATTTGAACTGCTGTTTGTGGTTAGCAACTCAGCACTTACCTTGCATCCCCTAGTGCCTAATACTGTGTTCTTTTCATAATAGATATTCAATAAAAATTATCAAATGCGTGACTGAATAGAGATCTAACTGTGAGATAATAGATAATGCACAAACCAGATAAAGAAATAAAGTGCAGTGGAAGCAAGGTGTTAATCGTGGAAGATGGTGCAATCTAATGGTGTGTTGGCAGCAAGCAACTTAGTGAGTGTATCGTGGTCACAGAGGGATCAGAAAAACCAGGAGGCCGTGTCCGAAGCAAAGAAAAAACAGCTGGGGGGTGGGGGGAGGCAGAAATTGCCAAATATCAATTCCAGTCTCCTTCATCCAATGAAAGTCAAACGATGCCATTACTTACACTCATCCCTTTGATGAGTGAGTGGAGAGTCAAGGAATGTAATGCTGGATACCATTGGTGTGGAATTGAATCTTTTGTTTTTATTAGAAAGCCATAGTAGAGCAATCAATAAACCCTGCAGGCGATGATAACGTGACGAGCCTCCCAAACTGGTGTGGATGTCACGGTTTGCACAGTGAAGAATAGCACTGAGACGCCATCGTGATGGAAAGGCAGATGAGGCCGTGTGTGTTAGGTAGACAGGATGGCATCGTTTCATTTGAAGTTCATCCAAGGTTTCTATTCCCTGGGAATCCATCACCAGTGCTCCCTTCTTGCAGGTTTATTATGTGAAGGAAAGCTCTGTTGTGTAGTTCTTTTTAAAAATTACCTGGAAAACTGACTGTTTACATCCTGTGGCTTATATAAGTCTATATTCCAAAGCTCTAATACAGTTGGTTATTCACCCACCTCCTCCTCTCACACCCCCACCTGCATGTCTCCTTCTCCCTCCCCATCTTTGCCTCACAGGCCATGGCGTATGCTCCTGCGGTCACTGCATTTGTGAGCAAGGATGGTTTGGCACACTCTGCCAGCATCCACAGAAGTGTAACCTGACAGAAGAACAAAGCCAGAGTTTGTGTGAATCAGCAGATGGCATACTGTGCTCCGGAAAGGGTGAGTATCTCTGCGGTGCTTGGAGTGGGTTCCTCTCCTGACCCCTGGTTGGTGGGGCAGCAAGCACACACCCTGTCCTTCAGACTGCACTGTGTTGAAGAACCATGCTGTTCTCAGCCTGCACTGCTCTTTGAGTTTGGAAATAAACCCCATGACATTTTGGATCCAAGGATATTAAATAGATAAGATGGATTCCATGCAAAAAGAATCTCAGTCACTTATGAGTGAAGAAAATAAATTTTTAAATAAATGATTTTGAAACTCTATAAGGTTTTAAAGCACAATATAATACACTAAATACTTAATGGACAAATCAGCCACAACAAAGCAATTCACAAACAAAATATTGTTTCTGAAATACAGCCCAGCGCTGTAGAAAAGTGATCACAAGTCACTGGGCTGCCAGAAAATGATACATTTTTCAATGTCTTAGGGAACGTTTCATAGGTATATGTGTGTGGAACAGGCAAACGGGAGTGTAGGAAAGCCATAAAAAGGGGACTAAATGTTTGGTTCATAAAAAGGATGTCCCAAATTCGATGTAATTTTCTTTGCCTCTTAAAATCACCAATTATGCAAGTGTATGTGTATAATCAAACACAAATGCCAACCAAATCAATTGCCACCAAGTCAATTCCAACTCAGAGAAACCCTAAGTAGGGTGTCTGAGACTGTACATTTTTATAGCAGCAAACGGCCTCATATTTTTCCTGGAGTGGCTTGTGGATTTAAACAGCTGACCTTGTGGTTAGCTGCCCCATACTTACCCAAGCTGTCCCATACTTACCCATCAATGCCACTAAGTCCTCCTTGTAATCTCATTTTTTTTTTTAGTGAATAAAAGTCTAAATGATGGTTATAACCTATAACTTGCTTGACTAGCAGTTTCTGACCCAATCAAGCAACCTTAGAAAGAGATTCAGGAAAAAATTCTTCCCAATAGTCCAGGACACCACCCCTCCACTTACACACATTACTTATAGCAAATTTATTTTTGCAAAGAATGGTTCCAGATTAAGCTTGATTTTGATTTCTTTGGGGGGATAAGCTTCTTGGAGGGCCATTCATAATCCTGCTGCCCTGGGGTATAAAGCATCGTCTCAGAGGGTGTCATTCTTTTGTACTAGTGTCCAGCAATGACCCGGAAATGTGCAGGCTTTCCCCTGAGCTCTAGGGACTGACTGCATGGAACTATGTCTTGATACCTACTCTACTTTCCTCTTCTGATGTGACCTCCATCATCCTTTGCAGTCCCATAAACCCTCTTTTCAGACCAAGTACAACCTTGGCTAAACCCTCAAATATCGACCCTGGGTCAGGGTTAGCATTTCTGTATCCTTTTGAGGAAGGCAGAGTGAAGTAAATGTGAACTAGAAAAGACTGAATCATGTCCCTCATTAACTTCACCATTGGCCCTGGGCTACCCAGAGGAGGATTTGGAATCAAGTTATGCCCTGGGTTACATGGGTATCGAAAGCAGGTATAACTTAACCTGTTCCTTTGAGCCAATGTGATAGATCGAAAGGGCTTTGTGATAGAATTTCACAGATGAAGTAGATGGATCCATGACCACATATGTGTAAGAGGAAGGTTGGAAATTGATACCAATGTACCTATTTCAGTAAATTACCATGTCTTTAGCTTCAAGGAAATCTGTGCTTGGGATTTATGTTTTCAGTGCTTAGAAGTAAAACAAACAAACATTAATTTAACACAGTTACAGCAGTCAAGTGATACTTTGACATAGACCTGTTCATTCCTATTACACGCAATCCAGTCCAAACCCCAAATAAATTTTGTACCAGTGTTGTCTCTGAGAGCCTTGGCTTCCAGAAACACCTATTTGGGGTTCAGGGCATGCTGGCAGCACCAGTATAGGAGAAAAAGGAGGGTTTTGCCTCTTTGGGGTGTTCAGGGGAAGGGATTAAGGAGACACAGAGAACAAAAGAGTGTGGAGCCCTGAACAGAACACAACAGAATCTGTCTCTAAACCAAAATCACACTCCCTGCCATGGACTCACTTCTGGTTCTGAGACCGTAATTCTTACCGAGAGGAGAAACCCCTGACTTTCTCCCATGAAGCAGCTTGTGGTCTCAAACGGCTAACCTTGTGGTTAGTAGCCCAATCCATTGAGTCTTTAAAGTCAAAAGTAGCCCCAGTTCAGGATAGTAGTGCTTGTGTTAGCGATGAACATCCATCATCTTGGCAGCTGTTGGATGATGACTACCTTCTTTCACCCAGTTCTAGAGCTGCCGGTACTGGGTTATAGGTGAAGAGAGGAACAGACCCCAAGACAATAGCACTATAGGGTAGCAGGCACAGAGGGCAGGGGAACAGCAGGGTGGTCAGTACAGAGAATACGACCCCCTCTCCACCTGAGACCCCAGGAAAAGTAACTCATGAAGGTGAATTTGCATCTTCAATATTATCACAGAAAAGAAACCTGATCCAAATCATTTGATCAGACCATGTAGAGCTAGATCTCATGGGCTTCTCAGAATGTCCTACAATTTTTCTCAAGCTTTTCTGGGAACCCCCCTTCGGGTCCTCATCCCAAAGGGCCTCTGGAGGGTTTTCTCTCTGTCCTTCTGGGACAGGGGTGAGCGTTGGACCCTGTGAGCGCCGGAGCCCACCATGGCACCCAGCACCTAGCCAGGGGTTTCCACACAAAGACACAAGTCTGAACCCACGTGCCTCCCAGGAGCTGTGAATAAAGCCGTCACCACAGGAGACGATGAAGAAATAGCATTTTATTTCTTTACAAATTTATAGCCAAGACAATAAATCACTCCATAGAAAAATTTAAAACAAGATACATTGTTGTGACCTTCAGAACAGATGGAGTAGTTAGGACACTGGTGAAAACTGCCTGCTGGGATGTCAGTTGCAGCACTGGGCCAGGCTGGAGGAGGGGAAAAGAAAGGCTGAGATGATCAATGGGTGACTAACAAAGGCGCTTTGCCTTTCAATGCGAATCACCAAAAGAGATGAGTTTAGAGGCCAGATCTGTCCTTAGCTACCTTTACGAGAAATGGGACAGAATTCATAGGCATGTGTTCCTTTGCAGATTTATTTATTTGGATTGAAGAGTATTCAATCACTCGTCAGCCTTGATGGCTTCTGCCTAGATCCAAGGAGTCACTTCCAGAATTTGAAAAGATGTCGCATGGCCCTGGCTTTACACAAATGTCTCTAAAGGCTTCCTTCAACCACAGCGGTGGGCCTTGATGGATCTCCACCATCCAAATAGATCCACAGTACACACACACACACACACACACACACACACCTCCCCCCACACCATCCCCAGAGAGAATGGGCCAAATTTTGCTTGCAAAATCCCCCTTAGCAGAGGCTTCTCTAATTGTCACATCCAGTCTGGTCGTCACCTCAGGTCTGCCACACCACAGCTCCTCTTCAAAGCTGTGGGAGGCGTCACAGATAGGGAACGACAAGGTATCCTGAGTCAGAACACAACCTTGGGTCCAATCGGTAGTTTGCAGCCTATGTGCCTTCGACAATTTCATTCTCTTTTACTTTTTTCATCTGTGGGGGCAAAATAATTTTGTGTTTCTCCTTCTTAAATAATTAATACCCACTGAGGGCAAATGGGAAGCTATGACTGATTCCCTTGGGCTGTGGGTCAGATGTGTGCACAGACGGGCTTGGGAGCTTTCTTCGGAGTTCTTACACTGGGAAAGAAAGTTCCTGGATTCGAGGCTCTGTGGGCATGGACTCCCTGCCCTCCGGCTCCTGGGAAGATTGAACCAGCAGTCCACCTGGGCTGGACTGAATAGCAGCAGTGCGAGGACACTCACTGGGCTGACTGGTTGTTCATAGTTTGACATTCATGCACCCTACGTCTATCTGATAGAACCCCTAAGTGTGCCCTATCTTGAACTGGAAATGACCCCGATTTTTTTCATAAAAGTGGTCAGAGCTCTGTGTACGAGGTGTTAGCATAGGTCCTTATAACTGTCACACTCTACTATTATTGCATGCTGTTGATTTCTAGTGTCACAAACAGAACAATTTCCTGTCTCTACGATTTACTGAGCACTGGCAGACAGGAAAGAGCACAGCAGGGGGGAAGGCTGAATTGAGGAAACCTAGTGTTTCACAGTACATACGAAATAAGTCCCCATTTCCCTTTCCAAAATTTCAGTAACCGAGAATGATGGGTACTGGAATTGACTTGGCAAAGGGCCCATCAATGGGTACCATGTTGGCTTTCAAGCGAATTTTAGGAAAATTCTTTGCTGTGGTTTAAGAGAAGCCTTCGAAAATCAAGCGCAGTTATTTTAACAGTTCAAAAGCTAAGGTTAACTTGTAGGATGAAAAATGAGATCTGTCCTTTAACTGTAACATTAAAATGATATAAATAAAAACTATCCTAGGTCTAATGCCCAAATATCATGGAGTACATTGACATATATGAAATCATGTACTCTTGCTGTAGAAATAATTCTACACTGCAAAGGAGATACTATTTAAAAACAACCAAGCCCTGGGAAATTCTTTAAATCATTAACATCATCTGGTGATAGAAACAACACACTGTTTGATGCCTTCTGAGGCAGGTCCTCAGGCAGCCAGTGAAATGCAATGAGTTTTCATGATTGCCAGGTAGATAATAATTATTTGCTAAACAAGTGGAGTATTGAACAATTCCATCCTAGAACTCTGAATGAAAGTCTTTAAAATAGGAATAAATAAACCTGTAAGCCAAAGGAACCCTGTCTGGACTACGCCACTGGGTAGCCACCATCTCTAGTCGACTGATCTAAGAGGGACAGCTCATTGGGTCCCAAAAACCAACAAGCCATCAATCAGTCAACAGAACTGACATTTGTCTGGATTTTGCCCAAGAGCATGAAAATCAGCCCATATGCTGCCGAATAAGTTAAGAATAAGTCAAAGCATGGTCTGATTAAGCAAGAAACGAAAAATAATGAAAAGTACTAGTCTTCACATACAGATATAGCTCCTGGACGACTCTCGGACTTTGAGAAGTTCGACGAGGAATGGTGAGAATTCAGTTTGGCCAATCGGAATGCTTGTAACTAAAATGCATCTATTGGTTTCCATCATCAAAAATAGTAACAAGTGATGCTGGGGACACTTTAACATGATTCCTTTCCCAAAATCTGGAAAATGGTCATTTTCCTACCCTAATCATACGAATCATTCTGATTGCTAACTCATTTTTAAATACAACGTGGTTTAAATTATTTCCTGCTTCCCCTTCTCCCAGTATCTTTTGAACTTAGCAAATCAGTCTACTTCATTTCCTCTAAAAGTGATATTTACCTGAACATTGGAATGATAGCGATCTTTTAGTTTAATTTTAAAGTTACCAGCCTTCATTTGTGTCTTTACTGCTATTAAAGATATAATTTTGTCACGTGAGGATCTACACCCTGTTATATGTGAGGGCTTCAACAAATGTATGGAAATGTTCTGTTATCTTTTAATTCTGTTTTTTTCCCCAGGAACTTTTTGGGAAGCTCACTTTTCTAAGAACATTTAGACTCAGAGATTTTGCTCCTCTTTGTGAAGTCCTTTAATTGATATATCTACCTTTTGACAACAGGTTTTAATTAGGTAGGAAACCCGAGGAGGAAGACAAGAGATAGCGGGAATGGTAGGCAAACCTGTAAAGTAACATGTGAACACCTTGGTGGGATCAGTTAGAGAATCTCTTGGCAGCGTCTGCTAAGTTATTGTGTGTGCATTTTTAGCAACAGAAGAAGCCACTCGTGGACGGTACATACTTGAGAAAAAACAAGTCAATGAAAATCTGAAACTGTAAGCATGACAATTGATACGTTCTTTTGATTATAAGGGGCATCTTCATTTGACAGGACTTACAATTAGATTCCTGGATTTCCTTGAATAGCAGGCAGTTTCAAAGCAGAATTCAGTTGAGAGATAAATATATAGCTATATTCCATTTGGGGAGGCTGTAAAACTCAGCCACATTTCACACTCACAGATATTATAACCAGGCTAGGCTGTGAAATCTTTGCCCAAGGCTAATTGCAACTGTCTAGAGGTTTAATGATGCCTTTCCTGGATAACCTTTGTGGATTATAGTAAGGAAAGCCCCCCTCTGAGCAACCCATCTCTCCAAGGAGCTTTTTCCTTTGCCAGGCTGTGAAAATATTCTAGTCTGCACTGAAAGCTTTCGTTATAAATGGTCTGGGAGTAATATTCTTTGTGATTTCAGGTTCCTGTCACTGTGGCAAATGCATTTGTTCCACCCAGGAATGGTATGTTTCGGGGGAATTGTGCGACTGTGATGACCGGGACTGCGACAAACATGATGGCCTCATTTGCACAGGTGCAGTATCAAGCCATTGCGCAGCGTTCCATGCCAGGGGTGATCATACGGCCAGGTTATGTGTACCACATAGCACTTCATATGGAAGAAAAGGAGAGCCATTTCTTCCTATGAAGTAACTGTTGAAGAGAAGGTGGGCATTTTGGAATAAGCCTGTTATGTCCAGGAATAGAACAGAAGACTATGAAGGAATGGAATTAAAAGTATATATTTTTTGAGAAACATTCACAAAGTAGTCTCCCCCCTCTCCCTACTGAAAAGTCATACCAAGAAGCTATCTACTGAAAAGAGGAAAGGATCCCCTTGGTAGTCGTTTGACTTTGAGCCTGATGGAAGGACCTAGGTCCCAATAGTTCTAGGATCACTAAAGTGTTCGTTGGTTGTTTATAATAAAGAGTTTGTGTGGGTGCAGAGGCTATGAAACAGATGTGTTTGTATAATGGCTATTGGTATCCTTAGTTATTGGGCTTTAATTATGACTTGCAAAGTAAGTGTTTGGGGATTCAAAAAATAAAAATAAAAAACTCACCGACATTGAGTCGCTTAGACTCATAGAACTGGAAGAGCAATGGGGAAACATGTTTATTCTCTTGACTTCTAGTTTAAGATAAGAGATGTGCCATTAAGCTAGCCATTCATTTCCGGTTGCTCCTGACAAGGGGCCTCCACTCACCGAGTTCTTGCCTGGCCTTGCAGTAGGTCAGGAAGCTCTATGTTTTTTAATAGTTACTCATAAGTCAGGTATAGATTGTTTCCTAATGGAAAACAAAGCTACCACATAGGAGCCCGGCTGGGACAATGCAGGACGGTTGCTATTTGACTGGTACAATATACATGGAGGGACCAAATGCAATGCTTTACTTGTTTGAAAGAACACATTTCTCATAGCTGCCTCATAAAATGCAAAGACCCCTGTAAAAATATTAAACTGTTGCAGATGAATTAAATGAATTTTATTATGGAGGGGTGTGTTTTATTAGAACTCAATGCGTATAGATCACGATCATGCATGTTCTGTGTATTTTCTTGCAGGGAATGGAATTTGTAGCTGTGGAAACTGTGAATGCTGGGACCGATGGAATGGAAATGCTTGCGAAATTTGGCTTGGCCCAGACTACCCATAGCATTCTTCACTTTTTAAAAGCTATTGAAACATATAAATGAAAACCATGTATATTTACCACTAGGACAGAGCAAACTGACTATTGTATGTTTTTCTATTTCTAAATGCCTGAAAGAATTCCGTTGGAAATAAGTTAAGCAAATGTGGATGCAGATGCACTAGAGAGAACCCTCTCACTCACCCCAAATCGTTACATCAATGCTGCTCCACAGGGACCAGGCTGCCCCAAAAAAGACATTTGGGAATGCGTGCAGATCATTTTGATTGTTATACTAGGGAAGGCAGTGCTACTAGCATTTAGTCTGGAGAGACGGTGGATGCTGATCAGCATCCTATCGGGACCAGAGGAGCGCCGTAACGAAGAATGATCTGACTCCCAATGTCCAAATGGTGAAGTTGAGAACTCCTGAATTACAGTTGTTAGACGTGCACATCTCTGTGCAACAAAGACCATATTTAACACGAAGGAAAAGATAGATCCCTCACAAGGTTTCCCCAAGTTTCTGTGTCACAGTTTCTCTAGGAAAGCGATGAAAACGAAGGCATACGGGGTGTCATGTCAGGGGGCAAGACACAGCCCAGAGCTCAGATCCCTCAGAAATGAGAAAAACTGTTCATGTTTTCCCACTAATTCGTTTGTCTGCTCACGTTTCAACCTCACAGAGGAATGGTCTTTAGGGTGAAAAAAGAAACTATGAAAAATGTACGATTTAACATTTTAAATAAAGAATTCCACAAATTATTCCCACTCTGCGTCGATATATATGTATCAATTCATCATTAATGAAAAGGTGAAATGAATGGCTATTCAGGGATCTGCAATTCAGATTAGTAGAATTAAGGGATCATATATTTTATACTGGGCAGGGGCTACATGTGCAAGTAATCAGATTTTGTTATTAATTCCTTCTTGGTATTTGACCTTTAGGAAAGGCAACTCTCTCGTGAGATATATGGTGGGCATGAAACATGCATGACTTTGCCTTGAAAAATTCTCTTTTTTTCCTTAGGGATACATTATTACCTGGAAAAAGTGGAGTCATGCAAAATAATCAAGAGAGACTATGATAAAATGGCACCAATCTCAAAATCGGAGGAAACAAAAACAAAAACACCCAGAAATGGATTAAATATTCATTACAAGTATCCACTCGATGGTAGAAAGAAATTTTTTTATTTTCTTAATGGTGAAATTTTTCTGTGTATGAAATTCACATTGAATTTTGAAAATGTACAATTGGGATATCCTTTAAGTATTTACAGTCGACTCTACTTATACAGATTAGGCAATCTTTAAACATTTAGTGTTAACAATTGTTTTTGCCCTAAATGTGAATTACATTTTGTAAAATTCTAGAAGAAGGTAGCAAAAACCATTTCCATAGTATTTAAGATGAAATTTTGGAAATTTTATTTTCATAACATAAATACTTCAGAGTCTTGGCTTGGACCGCATAAGCCAAATGACCAAAAAGTAAAATAAGGAAATGTATGCATCTGCTGAGCTACTTAAAAATTGAATAGTGAAAATTATTTCAAGAGAAAATTTAACTGACTCTGATTTTATCATACTAATTGACTAGGCTTTAAAAATTACTGATAAGGTTCTAATTTTTAATTGATTTATAAAATTATCTCTATCCTGAGATTAAGGAGTACAACCATATTGGCTGTATCACTATTACTGAAGATGTTGATATATCCATTTTGTGAACTGAGGGAAATATTAATAATATAGATTGCATTCTTTTCTCTAACTAAACATCTCGTGCCTCAAACAAACCTATTGGAAATGTTCATAGGAATCTTATTACTTCTTTGGTGATACAAAATCATCCTAATCCCTTACATGACTCTCTTGTCTTAGAAAAAGTGGCATCCGGTTTGCCTTCTAGCAGTGCTTGATTTCCTAGAAAGAGGAGGACAGTCCTTGGCACAGAGACACAGCTGTTACATGTTACTGTTTGTTTACTTATATTTTTATATAGGTTAAAATGTGGAAAGGGAAAACATTTTAGCCCTCGATCATAGGAAACCCGATAGAAGGTTGGATTTGGCCAAGAGCTGGACCACGGTTTGTCAGCCTCTGCTCCATGGGCACTTCTGTGTATGATTTCTTGTACTCATCACATGATCTCAAGTGTCTCTTATTTTTCTTAGAACATGCTCAATGGTATTGCGCCTTTTCATTAACAATGACAGCAACCATAGAAATGCTGTTCTCTTAATATTCTCATATAAGATTTTAAAAATTTAAATCGTGGAGAAATCATGATCTCATGAAGTTCAGAGGGCTTTTTATTCAATTTGGGGGCACAAATTAAATTGAAAATGTATTACACTCATTCTACATTCAGGAATTCACTTAACTGGGAGGGCATTATAGAATAGGTCACATGACAATTACCTCAAAATCATTCATCGTTTTCTCTTTTATAATAATAACTTTAGTACAATAGGAACAGCTTGGCTGTCCTTCTTTATGTCAGATATGATACTCTGTGTGTACGTGTGGTTTTGATTTGTAATTCAAACACCAATCTATTCAGAAGGGATTTAGCTTACACATTTTGGATTGGAAACATAACATTTGCAAGTAAAAACATAACTCATACACTTCTTAAATGTGATATTTTACTTTGCCTTTTGATTCTATTACTGAGAGAAATCACCTGTAAAGAAAGACAAGGCACAGACAAATTTGTCCTTGGTGGGGAAATATGCAAAAGCCATTGCCTGTCCTTGCTTTCAGGGACGTACAGTGGGGTTAAGGTCAACTGAAATGAGTACCACAGATTTATAAGTGGTGGAATCATCCTGTCTGTTTGGCATGCCAACACTGAAGACTCTCTCATATAATGACTTTTGAATAAAATTCAACTAAGGCCCCAAGACCTATCCCCAGTGTCTTCCTGGACTCTAAGCGACTCTAGATCCCAGAAGCATATTGGAAGGTATAGCCAGCTCCCTCCTCAAGAACATTTGCAACCTTAGTACCAGACATCATTAGACTGACTACGATACAGAACAAACGAAAAACAAAACAGACCACGCCTCGCCCTTTGTGTGCAGACTTGGTCATCACAGCCCTGGAAGCCTACATGGTACTGTAGAGTGAATGGCTTCTGTGTGCTGTCTTGTAAATTAAGAAAACTAAGCTATGACATATATTTGACTCCTATGGATCACAATTTATATCCTGGATTTTGATATGTCATCTTATATTTAATTACCTTCCCTGAATAAGACCGTGTTCTGAAATAACACTGAAACCAATTTTTTGTTACTTTCTCTTTTTCTAAACAGAATCTCTGAGTCCCTCCTTCCCAGGGACACACATATAAATCACATGTACATGTCAATTTATATGTGTCATATATAAATTTCAATTGTGATATAGGATACAACATGAAATATAGAGGGATGTGCCTAAAGTACAGGAAAAGGAAAAACAAAGTCAGGAAACTTTTTGTTGAGGGTCCCACATCTGATACAGTTTACCTTGAAAAGACTGTGTTTTGCTGTAGGCATGGATGAACCAAGTGACTGGCCAGCTGTGATAAAGAAACTGCTTTCCGACCGGGATGCCAACAAGTTGAAGGATTGAAACTGGAGTCATTTGGGCTGCTTGTGTATGTCCGTAAGCCACCTCCAAACCAAAACACTTAGGTGAGCAAATTCAGCACTGCATACGACAATTCTAGGATTCATAATGAAATAACAGTCCCTTTCGTTCGACTCTTTACTTGAGTGGACCTTTCAGCTCTTCAATCATTTTTCTAATCTTGTAGAGAGAAACATGTTAGAAAACAAAAATGGGGTCACTAGAAATATCTGAACAATTTACATTCCCAAGCATTGTTGAGGGACTGGGTGAAGCAATCAACTACCATAACAAATCAGCAGAAACAACCTTTCCTTACCAGATATGCATGCAAAAGAAATAGAATATTATAGACTCAATACTATTGACGTATGTACATGGATGTACAAAACACATGATCTGTAAAGAAAAACAAATTCCTTCATATGTACTATACAGAACATCAATATTGACATATTGCACTTACTAACAGCAAACAGATTTTAAGGGAAAAAATGGTGTGGTATAATCCCCCCAAAATAGCTAGAGAGGTATCATCAAAGAGCTAAAATTTTCTTTGGCATGGTAAAGGGGAAAATTGAGTTTACCAACTTATTTACATGACATTTCTCTATATCTGTGGGTGGCATGATGCCATTCTGTTACATAGAGTTGCTTGATGTTTATAATATGCCTTCTTATAAATCTTTTATGCACGATGTGGTATTTGTAAAGACAACACATGATATTTAAACACAAACTATACAGTGCAGACACACTCTTGGCACATATGTATGTAAACTTAGTAATACATACCGACAGTTCTTGAAACACAGGTCCTACTACATGCAGTTCATCAGTGTTGTCCTCTTCCCATGCAACAAATGCGACCAGACATGAAATAAATGATCTAACTAAATTACAAATAACAAGGTGCCTCTGCAAAATGTCTAGACATGGATTAGAAGAAAGTATTTTTACATCAATTCAAAGGAAGAAGTGCCCTTTTTGACAAACCACATAAAAACAAAACAGAGGTGGAAATTTACACAAAATCTGTCATTCAAAACAAATTAATTTTTGTTAATTATAGCCAATGTGCACATTTTTCGGGGAAAACAAAATCAGCAAGTGGGACTGATTACCGAAAGCTAATAAGTCAAGTTACTTGCTAAAGGGTGTGTGTGTGTGTGTGTGTGTGTGTGTGTAGTGGGATAATCTGAGTCTATCAGTTCATTGAATTAGAATCTCTAGTTAAATTATTCTTATTTTTCCACATATTAAGGGGGGTATATATTCTATAAATAATCAGTTAATGAAATGGACCTAAGGCATTTTAACCCATCCTCTTACAATAAGTTTTAAAATGGAGTTACAAGAAATCCAGAATTGCCAAAGGAATCATTTTGTGTATTTGTAAGTTGGTATTATTGGCAATACATCTACTCACCCATTATGCTAATGTTTTATTTATTAAAGTGGAATCCAATTGAAAGTGAAATCAGCATAAACAGTTACATTTATACTAAATCTTTAATCAGCTAAGCAGGCCAGCATTTTCCGATGCTGGGCGAGGGCCGCCATGGGGATTGATGAAAGCACTGACAAACTAAGCTCCCAGTAAATACAGTGCAGATGGGGAAATGGTGGTGAGGCCATCCTTCCACCTGGAATTAATAACAAGAGGCCAGTACGCATTGATCCCACATACAGTTTTCCATAAATGAGGTTCACTTTGGTCTTAATGAACTTTTCTGAGAAAACACTGCATTTTATTCAGTACGCACAGAATTAACAAGTACATTTCCAAACCGTTCTGGATTAAACACTTTGTAACTCTTTCTCCAATGTTGAACATTTTGCATGGTCTCTTCCCTGTGCAGTCAGGATTCATGGCCTTTTCTTAGTAGTCTTCCCTAAGCTCAGAGTTCAACCATATTCAATTAAAATGAAATTAAGAAATAAGAACAAATAAATGGGATGGACTGAAACCCTGATGTTCAAATGTGTTGGTTTTCCTCATCTTTGTCTAGAACAGTTCAACAGACTGTATTCTGAGATCATGGCAAAGGCACCTCTAACCCAGCCATTGGGCACGGGGCCCCTGTGGGGCTGTTAGAGGTATGTACTGGTGACATACACAGTACTGGACTCAGCATGCTGAGCTAACAAAAATAATTTTTTGTCCTAATATGTCAGTTTAAAAACTTGTCATTAAACACCAAAAATATTAAAGTCTAATTTATAACTATCATTTGCATTGCTGCTGCCAAAAAGAACACAACAGCCGCCTTGCCCATGCTCTGCTGAGGACGAGTGGGGCACAGCCCAACACAGGGATGGCATAAGGTTCAGGTCATGAAAAACAGGATGGATTATATCTGAAACGGATTTAGGTAGCGCAATTCTTGTAGGTTGTAATTATTGGGGTTTTTTTTTTCCTTTTCCTTTTTCTCCTGTTTTTCCCAAATAATGAAGATTAGTAGATGAAAAATGACCCTTAATCAGGCCTACAAGGCCTACAGAGTTCTTTGGACCCACTTTCCCAAAAACCAGTGGGTCTTGCTCGCTGGGCAAGGCAAATGTTACCATTACCAGTAAGCTTGTGATATGTATAAAACACACACACACACAAACACACACACAAAGAAACTATGTGGGGACATCAAACACACACCCTTGAGAGCATCCCACGGAGTGTGTTTGACCCATTCCCCACCTCCCAAGGCCGGCCTCCGGGGCGCAGCATCTGCCACTTGGATAGAGGGTCTCTATGTGTGTTTAATCAATTGTGTGAGCCCGAGACAACAATCTCAACTTTTATAGATGCAATTTGTCCTAATAGGTTTAGAAGGCTTCCTGATTCCCTGATTGCTCTTCGAACTAAGCCAACTGCCACATTGGAGATTGAGAGGAACACAATCCCTGCAAAAGGTCACAGACAGTGGAGCGAGCAGCCCTGTAAAAACGGGGAGGAAGAGGGATCCATAATAGCACAGGTTTTACAGCATCTAACTAGAAATGACTCAATAGTATGGGTGTGCTACAAAATCGAACCGAAACACATGGATCTCGCTGAAACAGGACTCAAAAAGGATTATGGGTAGCGGTCAGCAGGCAAGGTATCAAGTGTACTTGTGAAGTATGTCATTCACATGAAGTGTCACGGTCACAGAAAAGATATTAAAAAGGCATTCCATATCTGGTAGGGCATTCCATGGTCTGAGTTGAGCTGGTTACCCAGGTGTCTTCTTGGTGTGGGTGGTGCAACGGCTTGAGATTTATCCACTTGCAACAAAGAAGTTCTGAGACAGCAAAGAGCAAGCACTCTGACTGCCAGTGGCTCCTCGGCCACCGGGGCAGGAAGGTCCGGGAAGGACAAAAGGCTCAGCCGTGCTCGGGACGAGGAAGTCTCAACACCTGTGAGGGTTTGGCTATGTGGTCTTACTCTTGTTCACTGGTTTGCCTCCGTTCATGATCGCAGACGCACTTGTGCTTTTACTTGGAGTCACCCCAGCCTTCGGGACTGTTTCTCCAACATCATGCAAAGATGGTTCTCGGTACATAGCGACTAGTGGAGAGGAGAAAGGCATGTAGAAAGGAGAAAAAGAAAGAGCGCTGGGTTAGTCTCAGAAAGGGCTCATCCGTCTCTGCAGAAGACACCGGTGGTTTGTCTGTCCCTGTTTGCTGTCATGTAAAACAATCGCCTTCTAGCAGAATTTCTGTTCTAAAGCAGTTCTTTCCAGCCAACAACCAGAAGAATGTATCTGTTTATGTTATCTGATTACAGTTAGATGTACTCAAATGGGCATACGTTTTTGTCTACAAAATGCAGTGTAAGTGGACACTATGGTCCTGGTTGCACAGTGGTTTAACAGTTGAGCTGCTCACCTCAAGGTCAGCAGTTCAAAACCACCAGCTGCTCTGCAGGATAAAGATGGGGCTTTCTACTCCCCTAAAGAGTTATAGTCTCAGAACCCCACTGGGGCAGTTCTACCCCGTGCTACCAGGTTGCTATGAGTTAGCATCAATTAGATGGCGGTGACTTTGGGTTTTACAGGTTCCTTGGGCTCCTGCAATAGCGTGTATAAGAGCACACACATCCCACAGAGGAATGGCAAGCACTTAAATTAGCTTCTCTTTGAATAGCAAGGCAAACTCAAATTGTTTTCAGCTCTACACCAATATCAACACTAGAAGTGCTGATTCCTAGTAAATTTCAGGATGCTAGATATTTACACAGAAAATTAGTAAAATATATTTTTCTCTAAAGGATAAAAGACAACGTAGCCATACTACTAGACACTTCAAAGCTAGACAGAGCAATCACACAAAACCCCCGCCTCCCTCTCACCTGAACCATCTGGAGAGCATTGTTCAGATACTCCATCTCCCAATCATGGACTAAGACCCTTAAACAATTGAAGGTACCTATGTGTTGTGATGTTTTCATTTCATTTTCTCGTTTAATTTTCTTGCATATTATACATCTAATCATGGAGGTGGATAGCTCTGGATCAAGAGGCAGTGGGGGAACCAGAAAAAAGGGGAAATTGTATGGTTTAAAAATCAGGAAAGGTAATGCATCAGGGCTGTATCCTCTTACCATACTTGTTCAATCTGTATACTGAGCAAATAATCAGCGATGCTAGATTATATAAAGAAGAATGTGGCATCAGGATTGGAGGAAGGCTTATCAACAACCTTCAATATGCAAAAGGCACAATTTTGCTTGCTGAAAGTGAGACATCTATGAAGCACTTAGCGAGGAGGAGCAAGGATGAACCAACCCTTCACTAAGAATTAGACCTTAATTTAAAGAAACAAAAATTCTCACAACTGGACTAATGATAAATGGAGAAAAGATAGGACCAGCCATCAACATTCGTTGAAACAACATTCAAGAGATCATTGCATTGCTAAATCTGCTGCAAAAGACCTCTTTAAAGTGTTGAATAGCAATGTTATTACTTTGAGGATTCAGGTTCACAGGACCCAAGCCATGGTATTTTCAGTTGCCTCATATGCCCGTGAAAGTGGGACAGGGAGTCAGGAAGACTGACAAAGCATTGCTGCATTTAGTTGATGGTGGTGGTAAAGAGTACTGAAAGTGGCATGGGCTGCCAAAACAACAGACAAGTATGTCTCTGAAGAAGTGCAGCCAGAATGCTCCTTAAGAGCAAGTATGGTGAGGCTTTCTCTCACGGACTTTGGGCATGTTACCAGGAGAGCTGAGTCCCTGGAGGAGGACATCATGTTTGATAAAGTAGAGGGGCAGTGAACAAGAGGGTGGCCCTCTAATAGATGGATTGACACAGGGACTGCAAGAGTGGGCAGGGCCAGGTGGTGCCTCTTTCTGTTGGCCATAGATCACTACGCATTGGAACTGACTCAAGGCCACCCAGCAACAACACTGACGTTCTATAGGGCAGAGGCAACGACTGGCAGAAGGACAACAGGCACTAATGTCCGAGTACAGTCTGAGACATTGTCTCAATAAACTCTGGTGACATAACTAAACCCTCAAGTTCCTATGTGTTAGGTGGGAAAATGATTCTAGGAAATTGTAGAAAAAGATATTTAAGAATGCCTGACCCGAGAAGGATTCAGAGTCCGGGAAGATGGTGGACCAGGGGACCCGCGTACTTTGAGAGGTCTTTCGAACAAGGCGGGTTTGGTGTCCAGGTAGCCGAGTGGTAGGACTCTGGTGAGTGAAATATCCCCCTGGGCCAGAACCCCACCCACACCCCACACATTTGTTCTTAGCCGGGGTCTTGGTGATCCAGGCCCCCATTCGTGGGACATCGCAGGTCACTAAACCCCCGCTATCGCGACCTAGACTAGCTCTAGCCCCACTCCATCCCCAGACCCGGACCCCGCGCCCAGAGTCGCTTGCCTGCTCTGCAGAGACACAGTGGTGGCGGGACGCCACTAGGAGAGAAGCGCCCCATTTCCGCCGTTCCCCTCTCCCCATGTGGTAGCGATCTGGCCCTGGGCCCGCGTCCCTCCCTCCATCAATCCAAGCCCCAGGTGGCTGACCTGCAATCTACCTGGGGCTGGCTGGGTGACCCTCACAGGGGACCATCCACCCCTACTGCTGCCTGGGACCTCTCCACTGGCATCCCGTTTACCGGCTGGCCACCTCCGTAGCCTAGCTCCCACTCCATACCCAGCCCGGCACCAAGCCTGCTTCTCTCCGCGACACTGCGTCTCTGCAGGAGCCCCAGCAGAGCGCTAAACCAACCTGCCGCGGAACAGTGAGTGCTCCTGCCCACTGGGAGCGCTAGCGACAGGGTTCTGCACACTTGCCAGAGCGACCTTGCCCCCCTGGGGCGCTGAGGGATTTCGCGCGCCCAGCAGCTCCGGGCCTGCCGGGCGACTAGCTCCCCGCAGGGCGGAACACTGTCACCATTGCCGGCTGCTTCCCGCCAGTGCCGCCGCTATCCGAACCAGTGCAGACCATCCAGTGCAGAGCCTGCCCCCACTCACAGGGCGGGGGGCTCTAGTGATAACCACCCGCCGGCTAGGGAACCTGTGAAGCGGCTTTTCAGCCCCTGCTGGAGCTGTCTGTGTGCTCCGCTGGCGCCTATCACTCCAGTGCCCCATGGGATCACCAGTGCCAGCTCCAAGCCTGCCCCAGCCCTCTCCAGCTGGCATAGGAGGCGGGCATTGCGATCTGTGCCTCTCAACACCCCTTGCGGCCCCAGTTTTTCCCAGTCGGTGCAGGAGGCTCGCCCTGTGGGGCATCCCCCACCTGCTTAGCCACTGCCCACAGGCTTCCCCCTGCGTGGCCTCTGCCCGCAGGCTCCACTCTACAGGCCTGCAGGGACCTGGGAGGGCTTGCTGATCTGAAGAGCAATTTCCCATCACATAGCCCTGCTCGGGAGCCCAGATCAGCCTCGCCTACCTC